TGTGTGTGTGTGTGTGTGTGTGTGTGTGTGTGTGTGTGTGTGTGTGTTGGAGGGGTGTTACACACACACACAAATCCTAAGATACTAAAATGGGTAAAACATGACTAATGATAGTACTTAGTAAATACTGCTTGGGGTAAAGACCAGTTGGGAAGACATGGTATGGCAGAAGTTACAGGCAGGAAGTAGTCGAGTAATAAATAGAAAGTAAGTGAAGCAAGATTAATGTGGTTAATTTAAGGAAGAAATAGAAGTTTAAAAAACGCGAGATTTTAATTCAGGTAGAAAGTAGGAAGAAACAAATTACTAGGTTTTGCATTTTATATGTGTGATAGGGCTAAGGAGAAAACCTTAGTAAACCTGTTGCATGGGTCACGTCCTGCTCACGGTAATGCTGCATACAAAAATGATGAGCGTGTCGAATATTAAGTAGATAACAGTAAGCTGTCCTCTGTTTACGGTCACTGATCACTTTTGTGTTTTGCTTTGTTTTGTTTTTCCTTACATACTTTGTCTCCAAATAGTCGCTGTTTATCAAATCTACGGCCTCTCTTAGATTCTGGAACAATGGGCACCAAGGGACATACTGAAATTATTGTACCTCAACTGACTGAATCTTATAATAGTCACGTAAGTTGAGTAAATCTCTTCTTTTTATATCATAATTTTTGTTTTCATGGAAGAACCAATAAATTTGACTTAGCTTTATCAATCTTGGTTTTAGCTCTGACAGGTTGATACATATGTGCATCTGCATGTTTAAGCATGTTGAACATAGATGTTTAAGTGTGTGTTCACATAGTGGGAACACTATATAGGTGTAGTGGCCAGAGTTAAATGTCCAGAGTCCTCCTCTGTTGTACTCTCTGATTTTTTCCTGACAGGGTCTCTCACTGAGCCCTGGAAATACAGATTTAACTGAACTGACTGGCTAGCAAGTGCCAGGGATCTCAGCCTGTCTCTCTAGTGCTGGGATTACATGTCATACCTCCTCACCCAGCTTTTACATGGGTGCTTGAGAACACACTTAGTTCCTCAGGCTTACATAACTAGCATTATACATCTCCTCTGCCCCTAAATATAATTTTTAGAAATCACCAAAAAAAAAAAAAAGAGTTTAAGTTTCTAACTACCATAGAGTTGAAAATAGCTTTTAAAAGCAATTAAACTTTTTGACTGAAAATAGAACTGTCACCAGAGACTTGAAATCATATCCGTTTTCTGATCTTTTGGTTTTATTCTGTTAGATATTAGCTGGCATATAAGATAATGAGAAACACAAATATAATAAATGTGTACTTATTTTTTTAATCTTTGTATTTATTTACTTCATATCCTGGTGACATTGTTCCCTCCCCGTCCAGTCCTTCCCTCTTACCCGCCCCATGCGCACTCCTCCTCCCTTCTCCTCAAGAAAGAGGAGAAACCCCCCACCCCCAGATAGCAACCAGTCTTGGCATATCAAGATGCCGTAAGACTAGGTATATCTTAAATGTTTGTCCTCATTAAGAATTTATGCCCCTAGCATGCATTATTAGAAATATTTGTGAAACCTAGTAAAAATATAAAGTTGGAAATTTACCCAGAAACTGCCCGTAAAAAAAATTATTCTTCAGTGGTTCTAGGAAGAGTGTGTGTGTATTTTTTTAAAATAGATACTAAAATGTAACATTTTATCCCATAAATGATTTTATAATATTGCTAAAGTTGAAACTGTGGGTCCAAGAAATAATTGTAGGTTTTATAATTTGAAATTGAACAGTTCAAGTAGAATAATTACAGTATATAATTTTTATAAGTATCTGTGTCCCTTGACTTATAGGATATGTTTGGTTTAGTAGAATTTTTAAATTCTTAATGTTCGCTGTCTTCCCATTTTTTTTCATGAAATTCACTGACTAATATATGTAGTGACAATAATATAGTAGATTAAACTGAGGTTTAATTAGAGTATTAAATAGGGGAATCATACTCATGCTGCCATGGGAAGAGTTCACAGTAGAGGAGCCTTTTATTCTATTACATTTGCTGAACTTCCTCCTATTTGTTATTTCAAACTCCTGTAAAACATAATTTAATATTCTTACAGTGCTTTTCATTGAATTATAAAGAGTTATTTGCTCATAAATCAGCAAATTAGAGATGTCTTTCAGTAAAAAGGCATAAATTGAGTCATTTTTGACTGAGTAAACTAGTAAGCTGAGGCTGTACACAAACCTTCTAATTGACAAGGAAATCTTCCGTGGTACTGCCACTAGGAAGACATTAATTATTCCCATCTAATGCATATATTTTCTAGTAAGCTACTAAAGAGTCCTGTCCCCAAATTTTTTACTTTATGTAGAATCTTTGGGAACACTGAGAACTTATATATTAAGAATTCCTAATCACTTTTCTAAGTTAGAAGTAGTCTTATAAAATTTTACATGTCACCTGAATTTTTCTAGAAAAAAGCTTAATAATGTATTGTGATCTGCCATTAGGACATTCTGCTACTCCACAAAAGTACACAATGATAATGAGGAGATTTGTGTTTTGATATGACTTTCAACAGGTTAAATGTCCAAGAAATTAGGTTTTGATTTGTTACCTAAGATGACAGATATGAAAGTGTATAACTGGTCTAATCACACTCACAGTTTAGCCCAATATTTGGTTTTGCTTTTTATTTTTCAACAGCGAGACCCCCCAGAAGAGGAAATACCGTTTTGCACTCTCAAGTCTTTCCCAGCAGCTGTCGAACATACTATCCAGTGGGCAAGAGACAAGGTACAGCTTTCCTTACTTCCTCTCTGAATTAGAAAGGCAGTGTTACAGCTACTAAACATACCTGAAACTGTTTTCCCCTTTACAGTTTGAAAGTTCCTTCTCCCACAAGCCTTCATTGTTTAACAAATTTTGGCAAGCCTATCCTTCTGCAGAAGATGTCTTACAGGTAAAAGAATGCATTTTACTGCAGACCTGATACTTACGTCAGTATAATCTTATTTTCCAGTTACCTAAAAATAATAAAACCTTACTGTAGAAATAGGGAGTGTATAAAAACTTGATCATAGTGAAATGTTCTACTGGGATTCTTGAAATTAAGTCATAAATAGCCTGTTTTGTGTTGTGTTGTTTTAGCTTAATTGAACTCTATAAATTGTCACTGACCTTCAAACATTAGACTTTGTGGTTCAACCAAATGAGGATGTAGTAATAATTATAAAATAGCAATAGATAGTCAGAGGGTTTGGTAAATTCTTTGGGGAAAAAGTTAAGGTCAATTCAAGTAAGAATAATCATGAGTGGACAGTAGTAATCTTACTACTCTCATAAGGCCAACTTCAAAGATAATGCTTTACATTTAATAATATACAACTAAAAAGGTCAACTTTTTATTAACTATTACTCCTAGATCTCCATATACTAAGGACCTCTTTGATACTTAGTATCTTACACTTAGGAAAACATATGAAAATATGTCTTAACTTCACATCTGCGAATTGGAAATGGCTGAGCAGTTAGGAGCACTGGATGCTCTTCCAGAGGACCCAGGTTCAGTTGCCAGCACCCACATGGCAGCTCACAGCTGTCTGCGACTCCAGTACCAGGGAATCTGACACCCTCACACAGAGATACATATAACATAGGCAAAACACCAATCTGCGTAAAATAAATTTTGAAAAAAAGATAAAAACTCAGTCTAAAATTTCAGTTATTATCTCCTCATATTCCTCTTATAATTTAATGAAAGAAAAAATGAAAGAGCAGTGATTAAGCAGGAAAAAAAAAGAATTAAAATACTAAGTCCGTTAGTCACTTTGGTTCTTCCTTTTGGAATGTGTTTGTGCTTGTAATCAAGTATTTTATTTTATTTTTTTGTTTTCCTCGTATTCTAGAAAATACAAAATGGACAGAGTTTAGAAGGCTGTTTTCAAGTTATTAAGCTACTTAGCAGAAGACCTAGAATCTGGTCCCAGTGTGTAGAATTAGCAAGACTAAAGTTTGAAAAGTACTTTAACCATAAGGTAAGTATACATTCTGAGAGATTTAATGAAGGTCTGTCCTCGGCTCATTCATTGTATTACTAATGTCCCTGACTTAAAATATTTGTTTTCTTCCTTCACCTAGCCTTTTAGAAATAGTACATTAACTGAGAGTAAAGCCTAGGCATATGACAGATTTCTCTCTGAATGTTACTAGTTAAAACATTGAGCTTGCACTTACTGGCTTGACTTGTCAGCTATGCACTGAACTGGCCCTATGTGCTAAGTTGGGTTTTGGGTAGCTTTTGTCTCTAGGTCGTATGGAATGCATTAATTCTGTAGTCTAAAGAAGTTTGTTCGGAACAGAAACAAGAGACTGATAATTCAGATGGAATTTTTGTTCAGATTTTGCCTTTTCTAGCCATAACTCATGAATACATTTTATGTTTTTTTTCTTCCACTGAAAATCTAAAATGATTAAGACATGTAGAACACAGTGGGCATCACATAAACCAATCCATAGACAGCATTGAGAATAGGCCAAGGCACATACTCATAAACTAGCTGTTACTCTTTTTTTTTTTTTTTTGATATTTTCTTTATTTACATTTCAAATGTTACCCTTTCTCAGTCCTCCCCTCCCCCCATCCCTGAAACCCCCGTCCCATCACTCTTCCCCCCTGCTTCTATGAGACTGTTCGCCCACCCACTCCTGTCTCCCTGCCCTCACATTCCCCTGTACTGGGGCATCCCACCTTCATAGGACCAAGGGCCTCTCTTCTCATTGATGTCTGACAAGTCCGTCCTCTGCTACATATGTGACTGGAGCCATGGGTCCATCCGTGTGTACACTTTGGTTGGTAACCTTTGGAGCTCTTGGGGAGGGGGGTCTGGTTGGCTGATATTGTTGTTCTTCCTATGGGGTTGCAAACCCCTTCAGCTCTTTCAGTTCTTTCTCTAACTCCTTCATTGGGGACCCTGTGCTCAGTCCAATGATTGGCTTTGAGCTCTGGCAGAGCCTCTCAGGAGACAGCTGTATCAGGCTGCTGTCAGGAAGAACTTCTTGGCATCCATAATAGTGTCTGGGTTTGGGGACTGTATATGGGATGGATCCCCAGGTGGGGCAGTCTCTGGATGGCCTTTACTTCAGTCTCTGCTCCACACTTTTGTCTTCGTATTATCTCCCATGGGTATTTTGTTCCCCCTTCTAAGAAGGACCGGAGCACCCACACTTTCGTCTTTCTTCTTCTTGAGCTTCATGTGGTCTGTGAGTTGTATCTTGGGTATTCTGAGCTTTTGGGTTAATATCCACTTATCAGTGAGTGCATACCTTGTGTGTTCTTTTGTGAATGGGTTACCTCACTAAGGATGATATCTGTTATTCTTACAGTCACATAACAGACTGTATCCTATACTTTTTTAATCCTTCCCTCAGGGTAGGGCAAAAGGACCAAAGAATGAACACCCTGACCCTGGCCCTGACCTAATATCAGAGCAGAGGAAAAACACCCTGCTCCTGACTCGACCCCAAGACCAGGGCCAAGAAGAAGAATTCCACCAATCCCTGAGTTTGCTCTAAGATGAGGCCACAAAAATCCTACCAGTCTCTGAGTACTAAATCCCACCAATCCCTGAGTTTGCTCTAAGGTCAGGCCACAAAAATCCCACCAGTCTCTGAGTACTAAATCCCACCGATCCCTGAGTTTGACCCAGAGTCTGACCACAGAATCCCACCAATCCCTAAACTTGTTGCAAGATCACACTAAAGTCCCACCAATACCAGGCCACCGTAGAAAGCCCCACCTCCCCAAGAAACTATATAAAGCCTGCCTTCTGCTCAGTTCTTTGCTGCTTCTCTCCCATTTACACTTAGGCCCTTACCTTAGGTTATCCTTAAGAGAAAACGTCTGTGAGGGTGTACTTGTGTTTTTATTTCCTATATGGTTCGCTTTTTAGAGAAATGTGCTAAGTTCACTTCTCAAAAAATAGTACTCCTTTCCTTAATATTTCACCTGTTTTAATAGTAATTAATCAGTGTGTTAACAGTTCTGAGGGGAGAGTATCCTGGCAGTTTGGTACCAAGAAATACCACAAAGTCACACTGTACAACAAACCACATGTAAAAGATTTATTGGGAAAGACACAAGAGGGTGACTGACTCTGCTCAGGGGAGAAGCAGCAAAGAAAGTAGGACGCAGACTTATAGGGTTCTGTGGGGGTGCCGTGGGAAAGATTTTCAGGGTGGCCTGGGATTGGAGAGATTCTTTGGCCTGATCTTGGGTTTTTGTCTGCAGAGCAGGGCCCACCTCTCTAAACCCTCAAGGGCTTACAATCAGCACTCTCTTTGTTTCTTTTAAAGAAGTTTCTTCTGAATCATCTTCTGTGATTGTGGGTTTTTTTTTTTTAATGTTGGTGTTTTATTTTTATTGTTACACTTTCAGTGATTTGTTTTGTAGAGGAATAGAGTATGTTCATGGCCACAGTGCTCCTGTAGAAGTCAAAAGGCAAACAACAGCAGTCATTGCCTTCCACCATGCAGGGTGGTGGGGACCCTAGGGCCCTAGGGATCAAACTTGGGTTCTTATGCTTGGCAGCAAGTAGCTTTACCACTGAGCACCAGCCTTGTTTTGGTTGATTTATAATTATTATTATTATTATTATTGAAAAAAGGAACCATGAAAATAAAATTGTCCGTCCATAGCCACCATTTTTTACCCTTCACCTTCGTTGAAGCATTTTCAGTTTACAGATGTTTCATATTCCTACCCTCTTCCAAGCACATCTTAAGCATATAATTTTGAAATGCTAAATGCCACATTTGTATTTGTTTTTATATTTGTTGTAATGATTAGCTAGCTCTTAGATACAAAGTGGTGTATAAGATATTGTAAGAAAGGCATGAAGTAATTCTAAAAGGACTATAGTGATGTGTGCAGGACAGGAAGAGGCATGAATGGATTCATGGCTGACTACAGGTCCCCACTGTGCAGCTTTTAGACTTTGTTTTGATTTGTGATGCCTAAGCAAGTATGTACAGAGGCAGGGTTTTTTTGTTTTGTTTTGTTTTGTTTTAATTTCAAGGCTGTTTTTCTTCAGATAACAAATAGGGATTTTTTTTTTCATTCTTTTTCTCTCTTTTAGGCTTTGCAGCTTCTTCATTGTTTTCCTCTTGACACACGATTAAAAGATGGCAGTGAGTATAACCATTGAAAAGAGATTGTAATATAAAATACTGGATGTGACCTATATTTATTGGAAACAATATTTTATCATTTTACTAGGTTTATTTTGGCAATCACCAAAAAGGCCGCCTTCGCCAATAAAATTTGATTTAAATGAACCTTTGTAAGTATATGTGTATACTTTTACTGTAAATATTTTTAGTTACATAATGCAGGATCTTCAGTGTTAAATAATTTAAGTCTCTTTTTTGTTTTATATTTTAATATAAAATGTTTAAAAGTACAGCTACAAAACAGTTCTTAAAATTAAGCATTTTTAATTAAATCCTACTATTTAATTCTAGTACATTCAGCAATCACTTAATTTCTTTTTTCTTTTTTCTTTTTTTTTTTTTTTAGAATTTCTTATGTGTACACAATGTAAGAATCTTTTCACAATTTCTTTTTTTTTAATTGAATATTTTATTTGTTTACATTTCAAATGTTATCCCCTTTCCCGGTTTCCCCATCCGGAAATCTCCCATCCTCCCTTCCCCCATCCCATCCACCCACTCCCACCTCCCCACGCTCGCATTCCCCTACACTGGGACATCGAGCCTTCACAGGACCAAGGGCCTTTCCTCCCATTGATGTCCAAGAAGGCCATTCTCTGCTACCTATGTGGCTGGAACCATGGGTCCTTCCATGTGTACTCTTTGGTTGATGGTTTAGTTCCTGGGAATAATTTAAGTCTCTTAATCCAAAAGTTAGCAAGTCATTCTAGTAAGCAGAGCCGGCCACTTCCTTCCTACACAGATGTGCATGAGTTTATTTATGTGCTAAATAAATTTATCGTTTGTAATATCTACTCCATAAAAAACTTAAAAGACACTTACTTTTGCCAAGTATTCTCCAAGTATTCTAATAGTGCTGCACATCACAGTATTCCTGGTAACTACTTGAACATAGTATTTTAACATGTGTTTTTGTATCAGAAGGACATTTGGTATTTCCTTCTGTGTTGTTTTAGTCTAGACAAGAACTTTGTTGTCTTAACTCTAAAGGGGGTAAAAATTAATTCTGCAAAATAGAATTTGAATGTAGTTCTTAAGTGTTAATATGAAAGCTGTATTTCTTCCCTACTGACTTAAATATCTTCTTTAAAACTGCCATTCAAACCGCTTTATTTTTTATTTTCATTTCAAAAGGCACCTCAGTTTTCTTCAGAGTGCTGCAAAACTATATGCTACAGTATATTGCATTCCTTTTTCAGAAAAGGTAAGATACTGTCCAGGCTCCAGCAAGTGATTCAAAACCAGAGTTGATTTAGTTGGTGACATCAAAACTTGTGTTTAGAGCATCAGAATCATTCAGTCTCATCTGTTTGTTTGTTTGTTTGTTTGGGACATGGGCTCACACATTTTGAGCCATGAACTAGAACTTGCCCTGAGCTCCAGATCTCCCTGCTCTTATCTCCTAAACGCTGAGGTTATAGGCATGCACCTTCCTGCCCACCTAAAGTCTTTTTTTTTTTGAATTAAGAAAGAAAAATATTTTATTTTGTTGTGTTCCTGTCCTGTCTAGTCATTACAGTGCTGGTAAATAGAACACTAATTTTTCTTCTGAATTTAAATGTTGAATTAATATTTGTGAAAGCAATCATACTGAAGTAATGAAAATATTTATAGCTTTTTTACCTTTTTCTGTTATCCTAGTTAATTAGAGTCAAAAAATGAACCAGTTCATAGTAATTTAAAAATGCTTCATAGGGATAGATTCTCTTTACATAATTTTTCTCCTTTAATGTTAACTTTCATGGATTTGCAGAAGTCTGAAAGTGTTGTCCTGCTTTGATTTCCGTGCCCTTAGCGTCATGCTCCTTCTGTGAGACATCATCTTTTGAGTAATAATACCCAGCAAGCTCCATACAGTATTGAGAGACAGCACATGTACATAGCTTAGCTCTCTCCTTAACTGCATATTAGAGTTAAGTAAATTCTACTTTCAAGTAAACTGATTAGAGAAATATAAAAAGAAAAAGGTCTTAGTTTTTTGTTTTCTTTTTTAATATAGGGTTTTACTAAGTAGATATATAAACCCAACAAGAGTAGCTTCAAACTCATGATTCATCCGTTTCAGCCTCTTAACTGTTGGGATTAGAGACATATGCCCCAAATCTGGATTTGTAATTAGCATAGATGTGCCTGTTAGAGATGAATCTTTCTTGGAAATAACAATATCATATAAAGATCTAGGATATGTTGTTTAATTAGGTTACTAATTAATAGTAATAAATAGGTAACTTTATTACTAAAAGTTACAAATAGTTGATGTTATAAAGGGACCTTTTTAAAAGTAGAGTTAACTTTAGAGATTCAGAGTTCAAAGAAATGTGTTTATAAAATTAACTTCTTTTATGAAACAGGACTTATCAGTGGATAGCCTCATGGACATTCTTTCAGAAGTTAAAGTTCAGGAATTCAAGCCTTCCAACAAGGTAAGTTAGAAGTCTATTCACATAGCTAGTGGTTATTAAACTGCTACTTATAAAAAATCCCATTCTCAGCCTGAAGAATCCCAGTATAAACAGTTTTTGTCCTTAGGGGTATTTTATTCCAGAATTGAAATAGGCTATAGAAAGAGATGCACCAAAGCCTGCTCTAGCTGGCCTGTCACTGGAGCCTTAATCACAGAAGCCTGCCCTTACAGTGAGTGGTGGGAAAGGAAGAATAGCAGCGATCCGGTTAGGTATTTCCAGAACACAGGCAGAAGAGGACTAATAAGACAGATGACATGGAATGGGCTTCTCCGTATACATCCGTGTAGCACTGACAGAAGTTCTCAAGATTTGAAATTAAAAGGAGCTGTGGAAAGACTAGTTTCTTCGGTGAAATAAGTTTAACAGTTTAGGATGAAGGTAGGAAGCTGAAGATAGAATCAGTATACAGTAATTAAGAGCAGAATAGAAAAGTCAATTAAGTGATATAAAATTTCAAGATCTCACTGAGGATTCATACAATGCTAGTACGTGTAATGTGTTCTACTGTAGATTGCCATAGCATTCAAGCACATGGAGCTTTGGTACCATTGTGACACTTGTTTGTGCTGCCAAATAGATGGAAAATTGGTCTAATAGTTATGCCCAGAAAATACCTTAGAAAGCATCAGAACCTGAAAAAATAGGCAGGTGAAAATAGGCAAATTTAAAGAGAAAAAAATAAATTTTGTGTACATAAAGTATTTTTCTTTTTTCTAGACTTACAATATACTATTCTTTTATATACTCTAAAAAATAACCATGAGATAACCTTCCTCAAGGAGATGATATATGTGTAGGCATCCCACATCTTTATTTCATAGAAAGGGATCTTTATAGCCAGTGGATTTTTACATAAGAGGATGAGTTTTCTGAATAAAATATTTATGACATGCGACCTATAAATAATATGATAGTAAATTAAGGACAAAGCGGTGTCACTTCTGTAAGAAAAGTTTCCAGCCCATATTTGTCTTTGGCAAAGCTAAACTAAAGACCAGGAAACATGCTCTAGTATGTTTTCCGGCTTGCATTGCATCTGCTGGTATGTCAGTACAGGGCTAATAGGTTTCCCTGAGCAGTATAAAGTTTTAATATAGACTGTTTTACAACTCCTTAAGATAGCTCGCACTCAGCTATTAAAAACAATGAATTCAAGAAATTCTTAGGCAAATGGATGTAACTAGAAAATATCATCCTGAGTAAGGTAACCCAATCACAAAAGAACACACATGGTATGCACTCACTCATAAGTGGATATTAGCCCAAAAGCTTGCAATATTCAAGATCCATCTCACAGACCACATGAAGCTCATAAACAAGGAAGACCAGAGTGTGGATGCTTTGGTCCTTCTTAGAAAGAGTAACAAAATACTCATGGGAGCAAATATGGAGACAAAGCATGAGACAGAAACTGAAGGAGGGGCCATCCGGAGACTACTCCACCTGGGTATCCGTCCCTTGAGCAGTCACCAAAGGTAGATGCTGATGTGGATGCTAGGAAGTGCATGCTGACAGGAGCCTGATATAGCTGTCTCCTTAGAGGTCTGCCAGAGCCTGAAATATACAGAGGCAAATGCTCACAGCTAACCATTGAGCTGATCATGGGGTTTCCAATGGAGGAGTTAGAAGGCTGAAATTGCTCAAAGGGTTTGCAGCCCTCATGGGGAGAGCAACATTACCAACCAACCAGAGCTCCCAGAGTCTTAAACAACCAGGGACCCATGGCTCCAGCTGTATACGTAGGGGAGGATGACAGTGTCAGGCATAGATGGGTGAGGAAGTCCTTGGTCCAGTGAAGGCTGGACGCCCCAGTGTGGGGTAAATCATGGGTGGGGAAGGTGGTAGTGGGAGGGAGGGTTCGGGCATATCCTCATAGAAGCGGGGGTGGGTGGGTGGGGGGGATGGGATGGGGGTTCCTCAGTGGGGTGGGGGTGGGGAAAGGGGATTACATCTGAAATGTAAATAAAATATCCAATAAAAAAAAGATACCTCGCACTAAAGGTTTAAGGCCAACATGTTCTTGTAGTTCTAGATGTGACAGCCAGAATATTCAGCATAATGGCAGGGAGAAGTTTCTATTTTATTGATTCCTTAGTACATTATAAATGTTTGTGATGTTTAATATCTCAGAACATAATTTGGTAAATTTTTAAAATAAAAAGTACTTTAACAATCATGGAGATATTGTTGGTTTGAAAACATATACTGACCTGGTGGACTGTCTACTGAGTAATTTAAAGATAAATCAGGTGTGGTATATATTTCACTAGCTGTAGTTGGTATTAGCAAGTACTTAAAGGTTATATTATACATTTTGTAAATATTTCCATTTTTTTCTGCATGAATCAGCTATTTCAAACTGTGCAGTTTAAGTCTAATGTAGATTTGTCAAAGTCAAAACTATTGAATATCAACTTCACTTAAGTGTGGAATTTTAAGATGTCTATCACACAAGCTGTTCAGTTTAAAATAAAAACATTTTTCAAACTCCAATAAGAAGAATAAATTATTTGAGAAATCCTAGCGGTCTCTCAGTGACCAAAGTGGAGACCCAGGCTATAACATAAACATGCCAGTATATGGAAATAGATGGTAAACGAAACATCAATATTACTAAGTAAGAGATAAATTAGATCGTAATGATTAGTGATCAGAGGCATTGAGCAAATATTTTCTCTTATGATTAATTAAGTAAGTAAATAAGATAAGTAGTAGTCAAACTTGGATGTAAAGTGTGATAATAGTAATAACGTGGTAACGGTAATAAACATGTACACACGTCTTTAAAGGTTGTTCAAACAGATGAAACTGCAAGGAAACCAGACCACGTTCCTGTTTCCAGTGAGGATGAGAGGAATGCTGTTTTCCAACTAGAAAAGGCTCTTTCCTCTAACAAAGCTACCAAAAGTAAGAGGGACTTTTTAATACTGTGGACAAGGTAGACCTACTTTCCCAAAGAGCCACATTGATAAGTTCAGGGGAGTCATTTTTAATCATAAGAGCTGATTGAGTCATCATAAAGGTTCTGTCTATAACTGACTAAATTCATCATTTTTATCTTCATGTCGTTACCTTCAACTTGTAAAATTTAATTCTCCAAATTATATTAACTCTTATGTTGTAATTCTTAGTGTTTTTATGCTTTAGATTTGACCAGGTCTAAAATCACAAGCAAATAGCTTGTTTTTGAGGAGCAGAAGTTTCAGCCTAGTTAGGCATACTGGATCATCGGGGTCAAGGAAGGCACAGTCTTCCTGAGCTATATGGTGAGGCCCTGTCCCACAATAGAAATCAGGGTATTCCCTACTCATACTTTACGTATAGCTCTCTAGGAGAAAGAATTACATGAAAGTCTTTTAGATATTGTGAGGGGGGGAGAGAATGAGAATAAATGTAGATGAACATGTGGGCTTACACATGCCATGGCACACACAGAAGTCATATGGTAAACCTGGGTACTGGGGTGTTGGTCCTGCCTCCCGTCTTGCTTGAGAAAGAAGCTCTTCATTGGTTTTCTGTTGCATGTGCCAGGCTAGTTGGCCTACAGACTTCCAAGAATCCTGTCTCTGCCTCCCATCTCTCCATAGAAGTACTGGGATTGCAGCTCCACTCACAGTGTCTGTCCAGCTTTTGTGTGGTAGATTTGGGGGCCCCAAAGTTGGGTTCTAATGCTGTGGAACAAGTTCTTTTGCCTACAGAGCCATCTAATTGTCTCAGTTGCTGACTAGGAGTACAGACTGATACCAAAAACACCAGTATTCAAGCTGAACTTTTAATTCTTTAAAAGCAGAGCTAGTTGTTCATCTGCTTCTGTATGCTTACCATCTTTTGTTGGAGAAGTCAGGATTCCTCAAAATTCTTTGAATTCATGTCTAAACCAGTAAAATTTCAAGGAAAAAAAGTGTACTGTTAATAGTATTTAAAGTGATACTGGAATTCACTGATTTACAAGTATTTAAAAAGATACATAAATGACTTTGTTACTTGTCAGAGAGAACATGTTTCAAAGTAATATTTATGTGATTAATTTTGAGTAGTACCAAAGATTTACTTTTACACTTCATTTAGAAGCAAGTAATGTGGCAAATTCCTTTCTTATTTCTCTATTTACTGTTTTTTCATACATTAACTTCTAGTTTAGTGTTATTAAAGTCATTGTTTTCATGTTCATTTCTAACTTCAGTTGCCTTGTTCGTTATTTTTCAAGTGATTAATCATAAAGATTTTTATGATGAATATCTTTATTAACTGAGGAATGCTTTTGGTGGATCCTTCAGCTTGGTAACTTGTATATTTCCTTATTAGAAATCCTATTCTTTGAAAATCATAATATATACTTTGTACATTGCTTTTTACCTCATAAAACTATTACCACTAACTAGAGAAAATTGTGTGGTTGCTCTGGTCAGGTGACCTTCAGATGGCAGTGCTTTCGTTTGAAAAAGATGATGACAGTAATGGACACATAGATTTCATCACAGCTGCTTCCAACCTTCGAGCCAAAATGTATAGCATTGAACCAGCTGACCGTTTTAAAACTAAACGTATAGCTGGTAAAATCATACCTGCCATAGCCACGTCTACTGCTGCAGTTTCTGGCTTGGTAAGCTTATTCTTTTGAAAATGCTTTTGTTTCTCCCGCTTTATACCAACCTTAGCTTGCCATTCAGATTTTAGAGACAAAGGGATAAAAAGTTGAATATTCTAATTTAAATTTTCAAGATATTTCTGAAAAATATAGTAAGGTATATATCTTGGTCCTACATATAAAAATAGAATAGGATATAGTTGTTCTTACAGACAGTGGTCCCAATGACATTTCTTTCCCTTCTGGGTTTGGGACAGTGGAAAGAATGGACCCACCCCAATAGCCAGCTGAGGAACAGGACCTGGAGTCCAGGGGACACTTCAAGATCCCCTGGATTTTGAGTTCAGCATGCAGAAATCCTGAGGTCCCAGAGTGAGTTATGGAATCTGAAGAGTACTTGATTTTGAGCACTCAGAGAGAGGCAGCAGGACAGGCTCAGAAAAGAAGATGAGGCATCCCCATCCTCCCAAAGCACAGAGCTGAGGGCAACAGAGGAGCACCCAAACTTCCTGTCACTTTTCCCTCCAGTACTCCACAGGAGTCTTGTTAGCCTCCATGCAAAGTAGGTCTTCTTAATATTGTGAGTACTTGAGAGTCATTATCATGACCATTTATTATGCTCTCTCTACTCTATTGGTTACCCTAAAGAGTTCGTTATTTATCCCTATATCGATTGGTTTTGAATTGCTTTAGTTTTGTGTTGTGGTATCTGCATTAAAAATAGGGTGGTTACGTGGTGAAATAATTTTATTTTAATTTTATTTATGGAGTAGGCTGAACATACATGAACATATATTTAAATTTAATATAATTCCAATTAAAATGCCATACTTATGGAGAATTATAGAATGTGTAAAAAAAATCATTAAATTGTTGCTGTTTTAGATGTCAGTACTGGTTAACGTATGGGCTGGCTCAGAATTTTCCAGGAAAGGATCACTTTGTTACATGTTTTAGAATATATATATATATTAAAATGCTTTCAAAAACCACTTGCAAAGCTAAAACATGAAAAATGAATTTGGATACTTATTTTCTCTAACATTTTCAAATTCAGATAAAAATATTTGGGCACAAAATTTTAAAATGACATTAAAACAAATAATATACTACTAAATTTTATCTACTATAAGAATAAAATAGTAAGTTACAATTTTTCTAGTATTTACCAAAGCTACTTACTTGTATTAAAACTTCATGTTGTACCAATCGAGTGTGAATATTTTTGTAACTTCATGTTTTAACTAAAGTTTACTTTAAAGAAAGAAAAACATGTTTGAAGTTCTTTTTAAACTATATTGAATGTTCCTTAGAATTTAAAAATATAATAGTAAATTAGTGAAATAATTATGAAAAAAATGTAAAATGTACTAAAAATATACAGATCAGTTGAATAAGAAATGTATATTGCTGCAATCATATAGCTGTTCATACTATTTACAGAGAAATGCTTGCACCTTGGAAAACGGCAAGACCAATTAAGTTCCCAAGTAGTTTTGGACTCTTCAAATAATCAGATCACCTTCTCTTCTCTAGGTTGCTTTGGAGATGATCAAGGTAGCTGGAGGCTATCCCTTTGACGCCTACAAAAACTGTTTCCTTAATTTAGCCATTCCAATAATAGTGTTTACAGAGACATCTGAAGTAAGAAGGACTGAAATCAGGTATGTATGAAAGTCTGTTTTGCTAATATAACAAGAAAGAGATAAAAGTATTCTACCCTTAAAAAGGAAACATACTAGGTTTCATCTCTGTTTCTTCTGTCTTTATTAATCCTTCCTACTATTTCAGGACCCAGTCAAACCTTATGTTGATAAGTTATTTCCAAGTAGACTAGCCAAAGAATTCTCAGAGCCATTCGTATGTCACAGCACTTAGCATTATACTTGGTTCCTAAGTTGGATAAGTGTAAAGCTGTTCTTGTCTGATTATAGTCTTGTCTGACTGAAACGTACAATCTAATTCCACACATTATTACAGCAGGAAACAATTCCTTGAGGTTTTGTTTTTGACATTTTGGGTTGGCCACAGCTAGAATTGTGAGTAGAAGTATCATCACTAAGAGCTAATCTATATTATCCTCATATGTTACTTACAAGAGCCCAAAATACTATTATTCATACAAAATAAAGTGAGGTCCTATGTTTCTGACTTTTACATACATTTGCACACATGCCAAATTACATATAAGCCAAGATAATCATAGTAGCATGTTTATGACAGGCATTGATTTGAGCAATCTAAATGTTCAGTTATTGATGACTAGAACATCTGTACCGTGGAACCCCTACAACTACTTAAAAAAAAAAAGGGATATATACATAAACATGCATAGACATATACACACAGAAAGAAACACCATAACATAGCTATATACCTATATAATATGTAAGACATGAAAAAAAATTGTATGAATGGAAGGAGGGGATCAGAGGGAATGAAGGAGAGTCACAGACATTAGTAAGAAGCACGCGTGACATAATCCTAAACTCATTACTCTGGGAACTAAAGAAGTACTAAAAAGAAAAGGAGGATACTTTGCAATACATACTTGAAATGAGTCACCGAAAGAATACACGAAACACAGATAAAAGTGGTTACCGGTATGTATTGACTGTTTAGAAATGGCAAACCCCACCCCACAACATGAATTTCTAAGCAAATAATAAATAATGGACTGTAGGAAAAGTTTTATTACTACTAATGGGAAAAGATTTTAATGCTCGTGTCCTTGATATATTTCTACAATAGAAATGGAATATCATTTACAATTTGGGACAGATGGACTGTACACGGAAAAGAAGATTTCACCCTCTCAGATTTCATAAATGCTGTCAAAGTAGGATATTTTCATTTCCTTCATTAATTAGTACCTTGAAGTCTGTGATTTCTGTATAATGTGCCTGCTAATTCATGGGAACCTGAGTATGTCGTTGAAACTATAATAATACTGAATTCTTTATCAGGTTTACTCCTGTAAGTACATACGTAGTATTGTTTACAATAAGACATGATAAGAGAATAACAAGAATATTATATATATACTGTATAGCTTATTTTACCTGAGCCTCTGATTTTGTTTTCTCCCTCTGACATTGGCGCTCTCTACTTTCCAAGGAGAAAAATTTCCCTTTTTCGGTTTCCCTTTGGCACATCTGAATTGTTGTTGTACTATGTGCCTTCCATTTAGTCAGTGGTTTTCAGCCTTCGAAATGCTGCCACCCTTTAGTACAGTTCCTCGTGTTGTGGTGATCCCCAACCATAAAATTATTCTCGTTGCTACTTCATAGCTGTAATTTTGCTACTGTTATGAACTGTAATATAAATATCTGTTTCCAATGGTTTTAGGCGACCCCTCTGAAAGGGTCATTTGACACCCAAGGGGCCACAACTCACAGATTGAAAGTGCTGTATTTTGAAACAGAGCTTACTTAAAACAGTAGCACTAGACAAGTCATTCAAGTAATAAAGACAGCTCCTTAAGCAACTAATAGGTAGGTGGACCTGTGAGTGTACTGGACCAACAATTGCTTCACGCGGTGTGCATGTTAGAGAAGAGCTTCAGACTTTCCCATACTGCCTAGAGTGGCATACAGTTCAATGTGAGTAGATTATTCTAAGGGCTGAGCCTGCGGCTTAGTGGAACAGCGTGTGGCTGACATGCTCCTAGCCCTAGGTGCCGCCTCCAATGCTGGGGATGTGCATACGTTGTTCAGTTCTCAGACTTTCCAGTTAATATTTGTAGGCTCTAGTTAACTGAGGGAAGTGAAAGCACAGATAACCACTATAGTCTTTAACCTGTGAAGCTGTTGAAAAGTGTGAATAGTATTTATATAAGCCTGCCCTCGTTTTGGTAGATATAAAACGTTTTTACACATGAACTTTGGATGAGGCTTTGATTGTTTCCTTTGGGTGTTTACTTTTAGGAGAAGTATGGAATTGAGCCGACAATGGTGGTGCAGGGAGTCAAAATGCTTTATGTCCCTGTAATGCCAGGTCATGCCAAAAGACTAAAGTTAACGTAAGTATTTCACATACATGCACAAGAGTGATAAGAATCAAAATGTAAAGTTCATACATACTGAAAAGCAAAGAAGTTCCTGGGATTTATATAAAAAGCATTATTCTTGCTTTATGCCATTAGTAAAGACTGAATATGGCAGGAGGAAGGCCAACAGTGTAACTCTCAAAGAGACTCATAGGATTACACCTTTGTAAATTTGTTACAGACCGATCAAATGTGTACTAAGTAAAAGTAGACCCGTGCCTTACTTGAGAACATAGAAAACTACATTTATAAAATTGAAATACAGAACAAGAGTACAAAATACTGCTTTTATTTACTTTTTTTTTTTTTAACTAAAGATGCCTGTTGTGTGTCAAGCTTTATTCTAAGCATCGGGGATACAGTTGTGAACAAAGAACCATCCTCATTAACCATGGAACACTGATGGCTGGTTTTGTACAGCCATTTTTGCCTTGAGTTCATGAGAATAACGGCTGTGTCCACAAGATAACATGAGACTTTCCCATCCTCCAGCTTTTGTGTTCTCTCTACCCCATCTAGAGTGTTCCCTGAGCCTGGACAGAAAGCTGTGCAGGTGTCCCAGTGAGGGCTGGCCACACAGCCATCACCTGATCTCCACACGTGCAGTTTCCCCATTCACTGTTGCTCACTGTGGACAGAAGTTGTTCTTTCTGACTAAGCTGAAGGCAGAATGTCTGTGAGTCAAAACGTAAATACTTAGTGGTTTGACACTATCCAGTTAGTAAAGTAACAGTAGTAGGTATTGCTTTACACAGAGACATTTGTATCTAGGGCCTACCTCTTCCCTAGCCTTAGATTTTCAATCAAGTTTAAAGCTTGAAGTATGAATTCTTGTGTGGTGAGGCCTGAAATCAATCAGAATGCAGGTGTTTATCCCGATAACAGCCAAACCACTTTTGTACCATTGGGCATCGGGCATATCTTGCCTGGCAGTTCAGTTTTCGCAGCTGAACCCCTAGTGGTCTGTGTAGCACCTTCCCACATGATACAGTCCATCCAGCATTGTGAATCCATCCAGCTCAGTTCTAGCTTCATTCTTTTATCTTTTAGACAAAGTAGGTGGTATCTTCAGCAGTAGGGTCTTATGTAGGTCAGGAGGACAGTCAAGAGAAATGACATTGTTTTAGAGGCCTCTGAGGCCTCCCTGAGCAAATCTCATAAGGAAGTTTAAACAAAAGGTAGGATTTTTGTTTAATAAACTATGGCATGGATTAATGGGTTCAAGTGATTGCCGCACAAGTGTGGCAACCTGAGTTTATTCCTCAGAACCCAAACCCATAGAAAAATAAAAGAAGCTCGACAGTGTTCACACACATTTGCCTTGGCTGAAACTTCTACACATACACAGCACATACACACATGAGTATACAAAATAATAATAAAATTTCAAATAGCTTAGAGCTGCTGGGAACAGCATTATCCACTCATGTATATTCCTTTAAACTCATAGTTTATACTTAGGTTATAAAATAAAATGCATCCATATGAGTATTTGATGGCTCCTTAGATTCAGTGTTAACCCCACACATCCATTTATTACGTCCCTGCTTAAACGTTGACACTCCCAATAGTTCCTGTTTACTTCTCTATCACGTGTTAAGAAAAGCAACTCTCTGTCAAGGCCTCTTTCTCTCCCATCCTCCACCCCCTCCAACTAGCCCCTTCTAACTTCCTGACCTCTACAGGCAGCACATGTTCAACACAAATCTAAACGTTTAAAGGTAGGCTCTGAGTATGAAAGAAGATATGCATCATTTGTCGTTTTGAGTCTGGGTTACCTTACTTAGTATATTTTCCAGTTCTATCCATTTTCTGTAAATTTCATAATTGCATTTTGTTTACAGAAGAATAACATACAGCATACCATTGCATGTATATGTATCAGTGAACAGCTAAGCTGCCTGTTTGATAGTCACTGTGGATTGAGTGCCAGTGAATGTAGCTGGGCAAGCATTCCTCTAGCAGGACAGAAAGTCATGGAAGTCCAGGAGCGATAGAGCTGAGTCTTACAGTAGTGCTACCTGTAGCTTTTTGAGAAAGCTCCACTTTGATTTCCTAGTGACTGCACTGGTTTATACTCCCACCAACAGTGATGAAGTGTTCCCCTTTCCCTACAACCTTACCAGCATTTGCTACCATCTATATTCTTGATAGCAGTTCTGACTGGGATAAGATGGAATCTGGAAATCTTTTTAAATTACATTTTGCTGATGGTTGAACACTTGTTTTAGACATTTGTATTTCCTGGAAAACTCTGTCTAGTTCTATAACCCAATTTTTAAATTGGGTTGTTTGCCACCTTACTTGGTTTCTTTTAGTTGTGTATTCTAGATTTTAATCTCTTATCAGATGTATAGCTGGTATTTTCTCCCTTTCTGTAAACAGATTGCCTCTTGAATAGATTAATAGTTTTATCTGTTGTACAGAAGCTTTTTAATTTCATGCAGTACATTTGTCAATGGTGGTTGTGGTTTCCTGAGCTAGTGAGGTCCTATTCCTAGTGTTGGCCTGTGCCTCTAGCCTGTAGTGCTTTGCCTATGTTCTCCTCTAGCAGCTTCAGAGCTTTGGGTCTTTCCTTAACATCTTTGCTCCATACAGCATTGATGTTTTCTGTAAGAAAAAAGATAGGATCTAGTTCCATTCTTCATCCACTTTCTGCAGCTGTTTGTTATGAAGAAGTTATCTTTCCTACAATTTGTGTTTGGCATCCTTGTCAAAAGTCATGTGGCTATAGATGCTTATATCTGGTTCCTCTACTCTCTTCCTCTGATATACATGTCTGCTGTTGTGCCATTTTTATTTTGACGCCTCTGTGGTATAACTTCAAATCAAGTATTGTGATATTGCCACTATTTTTTCTTTGGGGTCTTTTGTATTTCAATATGAAGTTTAAAGTATTGTTTTGTGTTTTTTTTTCTGTTTCTCTGAAAAATAGTCTTTGGATTTTGATGAAGATCGCATTGAACCTGTAGGTTACTTTTGACAGGGTGGCCATGCTCACAGTTGATTCTTGGACATAGGAGGTTTTCTGAATTCTGAAAGATCTTTGATTTCCTTTTTCAGTGTTTTTTAAAGTTTTCATAAAGGTCTCACTTCCTTGATTTTGTGTATTCTAGGGTATTCTGTAGTTTCATCTATGTTCAAAGGAGATTGAATGGTAACTTTCATGTGTGTCTGTGTGTGTCTGTGTATGTGTGTTTTTATCTGGTTTGGTGACAGGGAAGGAGTGGCTTTGCAAAGTGACTTTGGAACCATTCTTTCTTTTCTCTATTTTATTGAATAATCTGAGAAGGATTGGTATTAGTCCTTCAGAGCCTGGTAGAATTCTACAGTGGACCAATCTGGTTCTGGACTTTTTTTTTTATTACCACTTCAGTCTTGATGCTCATTATAGATCCATTTAAAATCTTTATCTCATTTTGGTTTAACTTTAGTAGGTCATATGCATCCTAGAAATTCATCCATTTATCTTGGATTTCCCAACATAGTGGAATATAAGTTTTTAAGGTATGTCCTTATGATTTTTATCTGTTGCAGTGCCTCACTTCCATCTCCAAATTTTATTAATTTGGGTCTTTTCTCCCTTTCTCTGAGTCAGTTTGACTAAGAGTATGGCAACTGTGTTTATCTTTTCAGAAAACCAACTTGTTTTCATGTGTCTGTGTGTCTATGTACACATGGAGGTGTGTGGTGTGTACTGTAGTGTGTAGGGTTGCACATATGAATGTGAGGAAAGATCCGTGAATGATGTCAGTCATCATCCTCAACTACTTTCCACCTTCTTCAGGGAACAAAGTCTCTCAATTAACATAGATGCGCCTTGCTGGCTTGCCTAAGCTGGCTGGCCAGCAGTCCCTGTACACCCTGTCCCCTCCTCCCCAGTACTGACACTACAAATGCTGCCACTTTTCTCTTTTTTTATGTGGTTTCTAGGGACCAGACTCACATCTTTGTGCTTGCACAGCACACACTTACCTTCCTCAAGCTCTCCTTTTTCTCTTTTCTCATAGCACTTTCCATTATATAATAGCTACATTTTGCCTGTATTGTTATTTCTGTCATTATTTTTTCCCCTCACACTACAATACTGGCTTTCACATTACATAAATCTTTATTAGACTTCTTCATTGTTGTATCTCAAGCAGTTAGACAAATACCTGGCACAAAATAGCCATGAGTAAAAACGTACATACTACCTGTGCAGTGGTTTTCTTTAACATGACTCTAAACTTTCGGTTATCAGTTGAAGTTAATCACGTACACTATAATTATCTTAATCATCTTTACCTTAAAAATGGTTATATTAGTAAGCATTAATTTGTCTTATAATTGCTTTTATTAAGACTCCTAAGTATCATTTAGGGAACTTAAGAGCTGTATTCAGAGTTCTCGTGATGTCTGCCACCTAGATGTAAATGGTACGGTTATGAATTGGGTAGTAATTTTAAATTTGCTGCAAAGTAACATGTTTTGAGAGTTGGCCAGTGTGTGATCCCTAATTTAACAGGTATTTATTGATTACTTAAGTGGCTAGACACCTTGGATCAATGAATGAGATCAGTGAATTAAGAGCATGAGCTTGGCTTTATAAAGACTTAGATTCACAGGCTTGGGTGGTTATTTATTAATAGTTCTGTTTCCTTGAGTAGCTTTGAAATACAGATTCTCTTCCATGATTGTTCCCATAGCTATTCAGTGTTAAAGTATTAGTACACCCTAAAAACATAATAGCATAGGAGAAATATTTCATAACTTTTAGTTCTTACTGTTTTGTTATTATACAAACATCCCTGATATCAAATAGTCAGAGAAACTGACACATTGTTCATTAATTCAAACTGTAACTAAAATCATCATTATAATGACATCACACCATGGACTTTGCTAACCTCTATTTGGGGTTAGATTTCATTTGAGCATTTCAAGGAGGATTATTAAAGGCAAAAGCAAACAGCTTGCGCATATTGAAAAAGAAAAAAGAAAACACATGGTCTTCTTGGAAAGTCAGATGATAGGGATGTGAATGGTAAGAAGAGCAGAGTTACGTGTGGAACAAAGTATCTTTGTAAAATGGAAAGAGCTGTCATGGGGGATTAGATAGATAACATAGGTCAGCGCCTGGCAGCCAAATCTGCGTAGCCGTATCTACTGGAAATGGTGAGAGTCATGAAGCCAGCACAACTCCAGCAAAACCGAGCTGAGTGCCTTTATCGCTGTCATTCTGTCTCTCACTTTTAAGTTTGGGTCTCTGCGCGTTGCATTCTTGGAAGTCTTTCTATTATGATTCATTTTGCCTTTTCCTGAGAAAATTATATCTGAGTCCTTTTAGGAAAGCCATAAACCTATCCCTTCTGCTTTTAGGGAAATAATTTTATCTGGCCCTATTTGAAAGTCGTCCTTATACCATGGAGATCATAATACACTCCACAAAGCTAGGAATTTCTTTATGAGGCCTAAGCAAACTCAGTGTAACTGGAACAGGGTAAACTTGAGATAGTTGACAAACTTCAACTGGCAGTTGACTTGGTAGCAGATTTAAGACCTCTTTTTACAAGATAGATTGACTAAAATAACCTTTCCCTACTATACACTGTAGGTGACAAAAGGAGTTAGGTGTTAGTATTTGCTGTTCATAAAAGACCAGTTCAGCTCTTTTCTGTTTATCTGTTTAAAACTGTAAATACTGTCAGTTTAGAAGCAGGCTGTCATATAATCAGTGTGTGTGCTTTGATAGAGACATGCTTTAGAGTCTTTGAATCAGAGTTATAGGGCCAATAATAAAAACAAAACATATTCTAATTGTACTTTCTAATTATGACCGAACTTTTAACCCTGGACACAAAATGAAAAATCACATGTCTGGAGACAAAATAATGTCACCTGCACTTCTCAGATAAGCATTAGTCTGTCTTTGTTCTCTGAAACCTGTATAACTAAAAAAGCAACCTGATTGCTAGTCAGTCAGAGCTGACCACACCTGAGTCACTCCTCCCTCATGGATTCCTTATCTCCTCTCAGAGAGGAGACTGCAGAGGCTACCCGCGGGCCCCCCCCCCCCCCCCAGCTCAATAAAATAAAGAATAGATTGCGGGCAGTTTGTATTTTAAGATTTTAATGAAACTTTTTTCTTCTTAAAAAGACTGGTAGAGGGTCTGTGATGTTTCTAAACTAGGAAGTGTAGGAAGAATCACTGCATTACTGTTTGAGATTTTTGTTTCTTTTTTTGTCTTGACCAGAAGAGGTCCTATTAGATACATGTTTTCAATTTGGAGCTTTTAGTAAGGAAAAATTAATGTATAAGAATAGTCTGATTGTTATATTTTAAAGTGTATTTACAAGTCCAGTCTCTGGCTAGTACTAAGTAGCAAAAAGTTCTTTAATTTCCTCAAATTACCAAAGTATTTATCTTTGCTTATTCTTAGAATGCACAAACTTGTGAAGCCTTCCACTGAGAAGAAATATGTGGATCTTACTGTGTCATTTGCCCCAGATGCTGATGGAGATGAAGATTTGCCAGGACCTCCAGTTAGATACTACTTCAGTCATGACACTGATGAATAGACATTGTTATGGAGATACTCCAGCACTACTTTATTTTGGAAAGTGTACTTAATTCAGAAGCTCAGCTCATAATACTGTGGATTTCTTTTTGCCTTAATTTAAGGGAAACATCAGAAGGAAACTTTACAGAGAAGAATTACAAAACATTTTGAAGCATAGTACACATTTGTCTGTGTCTTCCTACAGTTATGATCACAGCAGCTTTGAACTGGAATACCATTTTCTAATGCTTACAAGATTGCTTATTAAACCCTGTGGATGAAAGGAGGAACAAGAAATCATTTATCTATGACCAGAAGAAATAAAGATGAAGAAATTGAAAACAGTGAATTCATGCTATTCAGAAAGCTAAATCCTATTTCAAGGTTTTCTTTTTTATTTGGTATTTGAAACCCATTATTTCAATATAAATAGTGTGGCACTGTACTGCTTACATGACTAGGCTTTGAAAATTTCATAGCTGAGAGGAGGAGGGATGGCAGCTATAAATGAAGAATAGAGATTTAAAACTGTAGTTACAGTTAGTGTCCTGTTACCTCTGCTAACAGAGTGTCCTGTTCCTCCTCCCCTAAGTCAGGATTGTCCCTGATCTGATCAGTGTTGTAAACAATGAGGTAAGATGGCATGTTAACTTGGACTAAATGTTAACAGTATTACTTGCACTCTGAAACTCTCATAGAAAATCCATGAATGTGAGCAGATAAATATGGCTAATCATTTGATTGTTAATATACCTTTATTTTATTTATCTGGAAGTCTAAACTAGTCATAGCATATAAAACCAAAATGTTTTATAAAGGGAATATTCTTAGAAATAGCTGAAAATTAGAAATTTAATACTAATACAGTTGTCTTTTTTTTTTCTCTTTCCAGCAATGTAATGGAGAAAATATATATATATAGTATTTTTTTTAAAGGAAGCATGTCATTTTACTCTTCATTCCCAAATTGGGAATTGAACGAAATAGAAAAAATTATATTTTTTTAGGTTTTTCCTTATTGAGAGAAATACTCCGTTTCCTGATATGAACAGTTGCTACTAATGATATAATTGGGTCCATTAAAGTATATAAATAGTACTTGACTGTAAAATCAGTGAAAACAGCAAGTGAGTCTTTTTTACAAGGGTTATCATGCATTCTAAACAAGTGCTTACAGCGAAGTTACTTGCCTGGAGCTCCTATTCTTGTTAAGATCATTACTAAATACTTTGAATTAAAATTACATCAGTATTAACTCCAAGGGTATCTCTTTACACTCTGTACTTACTTTACATTTACAAACAATTTAAAATCTCTATGGTAACCAACTTTTTGTTTTCTCCTTTTATGAAGTATCCGGTTAGGAAATGGGGTGAGTTACTTGTGTAAGAAAATGTTCTGTTCATTGAGAGATGGAGAAAAGTGGACAGGATCTGTTTTAAAGAACTGGCTACCTTTAAAATAAACTATAGTTTTTTATCATATTCTACCCTTCCCATTGTTCATAAATTGAATCAATGAGCATCATAGGCTCTGTGGCTTTGAACTTAATGAGAAAAAGAAGTCCTTTTTTGCAATTTTTACTGTGTTTTCTCTTCTTTGGTAGTAGCGTATTTTCTAAGTGATCATTCAGGAATCCTCAAACATGAGTCACTAGCTTGACTCTGTTTGCTTAAGTCTTCACATGTATTTGGAAGTAAATGAGAACCATGCTTTATAGAGTGCGTTAGTAAAGAAAATCAACCAGGTTTGCTTTGTTTGTAATTAAACCCACAGCCATTTTGCCATTAGGTTTTTCTGTAGGTAATGATTATTACTGTCCTACTAAATTTTACTGAACTGGAAAGCCATAATAAAGTTAATGTGAAATTTTTTTCTTTATTTTGTACCTTAAGATTCTTGGTACTGAAATACAGCTATTGAATACTGGGTTTAAAAAAAAAAGGAAAGAAAGAAGAAAAGTAGTGTTACTCCATTCATTTTTTTTTTTTAATACTAAAAGTAAGTCAGAAATTTTAGGTGTCATTCTAAACTGTGCTCTGTGGTTCGTTGCAGAGAATTTAATTACACCTCTTTTTCTGTGGATAATGCTGCTACTGTTTCCTCTTATGCTTTGCAAACAGATGAGTGTGGAGCATATAAGCCAAGGAGGAAGTGTTTGTTTAGCAAGCTCAAAGCCCTAACTTTCATATACAGGTGCAAAAATAAATGAGAAAAAAGGGGCAGAAATATTCACTCCAGAAGAAACTAAGTTTGAGGTTTCTAAAGTCAATTCTTTATAGAACTTGAAACAGTTGTGTTACATGTCTTATTCCTTATATATTGTTCCAGAAGTAGAACTTGGAATCACTTTTTATTACTTTGATAGTTTGTCTTTCATGGCACATTGTTGGGACAGCATCAAAGTACAAAAACATAACCATACCTGGGGTTGTAACTACAGTAGACAAGGTCACAAGATTCACTACACAAGGCTCTGGGTTTGAGTCCCAACTCAAGAGTTTAGATCTTAGAAGTCAGTTGAAGTATCAACAGGCAATTTGTGTTTGCTTTTCTCTTGCTGTATCTTGAAGTGTGCGTGTGTGTGCGTGTGTGTGTGTGTGTGTGTGTGTGTGTGTGTGTGTATGATTTGCCTGCATGTACATGCACCACATGTATGCAGTGCTCATGAAGCCAGAAGAGAGTGTTGGATCCCTTGAGACTTGGGAACAAGCACAGGTTCTCTGGAAGGGCAGCCAGTTAGTTATCTTAACCACTGAGCCATCTCTCCAGCCCCCAAAGCGTCCTTGTTGTAGTTGAGAAATGCATGTTGAAAGTATATAAAATGTGAATATACACTTTAAGGAATAATTTTAAGGTATTTTCGTATCTAACCAATATTGAAATCAATAGAACATTGGTGTCAGAAACCTTCCTAATCCTTCTCCAGTCTCAAGCATTTTAAGTACCCTTGATAATTACTGTCTTCTTTTTGTATTTACAGTTGCAGTTGCCTCGTTTGTTTTTTGTTTTTTTTTTTTCCTGGAGTTACCCCCACTATGTATGCAAATCTAAACAGAACACTTTAGTTCTGCCTGCTTCTGAACTGTATGTAAAGAATTGTTCTGCATTGTCTGGTGTCTGTCATTCATCATAATTCATCCATGTTTGTTGTAGCCATACTTTATTTACCATTGCTATAATAGTTTACTGTTGTATTAGTGTACCAGTTTATTGACTGTGAATAATGAAGATGTATTTAGTTCTGGATAATTACAGTTCTATAATAAATGTTTTATTCACACATTTTTCTTCAGTTGCAAATAATATGTCTAGGATAAAAATTGCATGTTTGTAAATATTCTTTTTTTAAAATATTCTAGTTTTGAAATGAAAACATAACTACATCATTTTCCCCTTCCCTACCTCGCTTTCCTCCTCCCAGTGCCTGCCAGGCCACCATCACCCTGTGCTAAGCATTAGGGTACATTGTTACCAGTTTGTATGGTTTGTGTTTTTGCATTTTTGACAACGTGGTGGACATGCAGTTGTATTTCATTGACAGGTTCCTCTTTTCTCTTATTATAGGGCGTGGGGCACCTTTTCACAGATTGACCATTTCAACTTTCCCCTTTTGGAAAGTATCTTGTCAGATCTATGGCATATCTACATTTTGTTTTGGCAGTGATTTTCTTCATTTGATAGGTGGAAGATCTTTATAAATCATGTTCTTTGTTATCCATATAGTTGTAAGTATCTTCTCAGAAGCTAAAAGTTAAATACCTGGCAGAACCAGTCTTTTGTTTCATAATTAAAACCTCATTCTCAGCCTGCAGAATCTCCTCCCCTCCC